TGAGTGAGGAGGAGATGGTTTGAGCAGGGCTAATGGGCACAAAGACATGCAAGGTTAATGGAAGACTGTAGTAACCTAGGCTAAGAGTCATGGGAATCCATTAGAGATTAGAGAGGTGGACACTAAGGGAAGAGGAGGTCAGGGAAGGTTTGCAGGAGGCAGCCTTGCCCACCCCTCCCCTCCCCACTCTGCAGTCCAGCCACATCGAACTTTTTACATCCTTCATCATGCCGCTTTGCCTCCCTCTCCTCTTAGCCTTTGCACAAGTTGTCTCATCTATTTGGAACACTCCTCCTCCCTCGCTTTTCCCCTGATTCCCACCTAGTTATCATTCAGGTGTCAGTTCATATTATAATCACCACCTCCCCAGCCCCAGGGTGAGTCAGGTGCCTCCTCTGGGCTCCCACAAGCTCCTGCCCCCCTCCCCGCCCCATGAATCCTTGATTACTTTGTATTGTCAATGTCTGCTCACATATCTGCCCCCATCCCTGCAATGGGCTGTGAGCTCTGCAGGAAGTATCGGGATTATGCCGTCTTATAAATATGATGGGAACATTCTCTCTTTTCTAGTCTCTGGAAGCTTGTGTAAGATTGCTATTACACCCTCTCCCCACTTATCAACGTGGTTAGGTTCCAAAGACCAGGTCATTATGCAAAAATCGGTGTTATGTGAAAATGGAGCATGACCACATCAGATCACAAAATGGAAGATTACTACATCATTAGATAACTGCCAAATTACATCATTACATAACTTCCAAACCACTGAGAATCATGGCCCAGCCAAGATGACACATATCCTTGACCATCACAGCAAGCAGTACTCTCACGTCACACCTTGGCATCCATTACTACCAGATATACGCTGTTAATGTGCAAAATAGACAGTAGCTTGTTTACTACTGTAGTAGATGCAAAATGTCGGATAATGACATGGTCAATAAGTGAGGAGCGGGTGTATTTCTTCCTTAAATGTTCGAAAGGATTCTATCACTTGAAGCCACCTAGACTTGGAATTTTCTTTATGAAAACGTTTTAAATTACGGGTTCAATTTCTTTAACAAGAATATAAGAACCTCCAGGTTTTCTATTTCTTCTTGTGTCAGTTTTGTTAAGTCATGTTTTTAAAGACATTTGTCTTATCCATCTAAGTTGTCAAATTTATTGTCATTAAGTAGTTCTTAACACCTTCTTATCCTTTTATGACTGAATAATGTCCTCTTTTTCATTTCTGATATTGGTAATTTGTGTTTGTTATCTTTTTTCTTAATCAGTCTTGCTAGAGGTCTACTGATTTTATTAATCTTTTCAAAGAAACAAATTTTGGCTTTGTTGATGTTCTTTAGTGTACATGTGTTTTCTCCTTCATTGATTTCTTCTCTTATCTTTATTATTTCCTTCCTTCTACTTTCTTTGACATTAATCTGCTGTTCCTTCCTTCTTAAGGTGTGGGTTCATTTAAACAATAACAATAGCTCTCATTCACTGAATGCTTACTGTGCCAGATGACATGTAAAGTACTAAAGATCTTACAAGAGCCTCACAACAACCTAGATTCTTTGATGAGCCCATTTCACAGAGTGGAATACTGATGCTCAGAGAGGTGAAGTCACTTGTCCAAGGTCATGTGGCTTACCAGTGTGATTCAAACTTTGGTCTGTAACTTCCGAGCCCTGACCACCTTTTTACCCTGCCTCTACCCATGTATCCCCATTTGGAGAAGACTTTGGCTCCCTCAACCTGTATTATACCATTCTAGGGACTTGCGGAAGTGGAAAGTGAAATGTCACATTCCCCAGACTCCCTTTGCAGCTCTGGTTCTGGATATGAATTAGGTTCTGCAAACCTGTACACTCGATAAGATACGGAAGGTGGAAATGGGGTGGTGGCTGCCTTCTTACCCCCTTTGCTTCTGCACACAGGCAAGGATATGAGACAAAAACCTTTCCTTCAGCACCATCCAGTGACCATTCTCCAGGCCTCTAGGGGTCAAAAGGCTCTTTCACTGGAGGATGAGACTTCTGAGCCTTGCACTTCAGCCATAATCACGTTCCTGAATTCAGTGGGGCTAGGTGCAGCCTGGGAACCCTAGTGGCACAGTGGGTAAGAGCTACAGCTGCTAACCAAAAGGTCAGCAGTTCCAATCCACCAGCCGCTCCTTGGAAACCCTATGGGGCAGTTCTACTCTATCCTATAGGGTCGCTATGAGTCGGAATCGACTTAACGGCAATAGGTTTGGTTTTGGTTGGGTGCGGCCTCAGAGGTAGCAGCTCCCTTGGTGGGTCAGGTCTGCTGTGTTGTTATCAGCATCAATTCTGTTACAGGTTGTTGTCAAGGTGACTCCAACTCATGGCGACCCCATGTGTGTCAGAGTAGAACTGGGCTCCATAGGGTTTTCAATGGCTGCTTTTTCAGAAGTAGACTGCCAGGCCTTTTTTCTGAGGCACCTCTGGATGGACTCGAACCTCCAACCTTTCAGTTAGCAGCTGAGCGTGATAATCATTTACACCACCCAGGCACTCTGTCAATCTTGTGGGATCCCACCTTGCCCGCTCCCCTCCAGCTCTTCCTGTAATTTTGTAAGCATTAAATTCCCTGTATTAAATCCTTCCTGCTGAAAGCACTTATAGTATTGTCTGTTTCTGACAGTGAACACTAATGTATACATTGGCATCAAGCACAGGGTCAAGCAAACAGAGAGCACTCAATAAATGTCTGTGGAGTGAATGAATGAAAGGATAAAAGAAGGGGTCCTGTGCCGTGGGGTCCAGGGAACAAGACGATGGCGGGGTTTGAAAAATGTGCACCAGGTGGCATTCACACGCTGGACCACAGGTGGTCACACCTCCCCGGCCCCGCCCACTCACAGGGGTGCTCATGCTGTCCTTCCGCCGCTCAGGGATCTCAGCCTTGTTGGGGTTGTGGGCGCTGCTGACCATGGGGCTGGAGGGGGGCAGCCCTCGACTCCCGCTCCCCGTGGCACTGCAGCTTGCCTTCCGGCCTGGCAGGCGCTCCTCCTTCAGCTCTGTCTCCCCTGTGCTGGTTGGACTGCGCTTGGGGTGCAGGGGCGTGGGGGATGGGCCACCTGGCAGAGGGAGAGGAACGGGTGAGAGCTGCATCACCTGGAGACTCCAGCACCCACTCTGAGGTGTGAGCCTTTCTGCCTGGTAGAGCATCAGAGAACTCCCGAGCTCTTCTTTAGCAAACTCTGGGAGGAGTGGACAATGAGCAGTGCATTGTTGTTCCTGTTATTGCTAGTTGCTGTCGAGTCGATTCGGACTCCTGGCGACCCTATGTGTGCGGAGCAAAACTGCTCCCGCGAGTTTTCAAGGCTGCGACCTTTCGGAAGCAGACTGCCAGGCCTATCTTCCTAGGTGCCTCCAAGTGGGTTCGAATCACCAACCTTTCAGCTAACAGTCATGTGCTTAACTGTTTGTATCACCCAGGGACTCTCAGCACCTACTCTGGGTGATCGCTGGAATCTTAAAATTCCTCACATAGGGTACAATTTCTGTGTAGGACATTCTGACAATATTTACCAAAATTATAAGTGCCCATAAGAAAAAAAACAAAAAAACAAAAAAACAAACAAACCAATTGCCGTGGAGTTGATTCCAATTCATGGTGACCCACGTGTGTCAGGGTAGAACTGTGCTCTATAGGGTTTTCAAAGGCTGTGATTTTTCAGAAGCAGATTGCCAGGCCTTTATTCTGAGGTGCCTCTGGCTGAACCTGAACCTCCAACCTTTTGATTAGCAGCTGAACAGATTGAAGGTTTGCACCATGCAGGGACTCCAAGCACACGTGTTGTGGTTGTTAAGTACTGTCGTATACTGACCCAAAGACTCCGCGTCTGGGAATTTATCTCAGAGTTCCACTTGCACACACATAAAATAATATGATCTACAAGTTTGCAACATTTTGTTTAAGATCAAAAGATTGTGAACAGCCTGAATGCCCCTTATTAGGGGTCTGGCTAAAGAAATCAAGGTACTTCCACACAATGGAATACTATGCAGTGGTTAAAAAAACAACAAATTCTTTATGGATTGATATAAAGTGATCTTCAAGACAGACTATAAAGAGGAAAAGGCATAGGATGGGGTCCTCAGAGGGCGATCATTTGTATACAACAGGGGAAATTGTGTATATCTTCACAAATCTATCTCTATCTCCTTGCTTCTATATGAATAAAATATCTCCAAAAGGTTATTATTTATACTAAAAAGGGATACTATGTTTATATGATGTACTTATATGTTATTTATATACTTATTCAATCTGCATGCTGAGCAAATAATCCAAGAAGCTGGACTATATGAAGAAGAATGCAGCATCAAGATTGGAGGAAGACTCA